ATATGGCAGCTAACAACTATCTGTAACTCCAGTTCCAGGGAACCCAATGCCCTCTTCTGGCCTCCAAAGACATTGCACACATGGGTACACTTCTATGCATGCAAGTGAAACACTTCTTCTACACATAAAATAAAAACAAATAAGCCAGGTGTGGTGGTACACACCTTTAATCCCAGCACTCTAGAGGCAAAGGTAGGCATCTCTGTGAGTTCAAGGCCAGCCTGGTCTACATAGTGAGTTCCAGGCCAACTGGGCTATAAATAAATAAATAAATAAATAGATAAATAAATAAAAAGAGAAAAATAGAAAAAATTAAATGTCAATGTTGTAAAAGGCAAAGAGAGCCTAAACATCTGCTTACAGTTTCTTAATAAATTACAGGACACAGATGAGAAATGACAATAAAACACAATACATGATTCTGGGCTGTATTTTCTATTCATGGAAGAAAACATTCTGTTCAAACTAGAGTATAACAGGCCAGCAAGATGGCTGAGCAAATAAAGATGCTTGCCACCAAGGCTGATGACTTGAATTCAATTCCCAGAACCCATATCTTGGAAAGAACCAATGCCCACTAGTTGTCCTCTGATCTCCACTCTTGCACCAAGGCACACATGTGTGGGGAGAGAGGGAGAAAGCAGGAGGGTAATAAATAAAAAAAAAAAACCTGTCCATTGTTTAAAGGCAAAATTAGAATATGTTCCACCTGAGCCTTTCAATCTCTGGACCACTCCTCATGAGTGCAGGTACGCCAAGGGGAAAGGAGGAATACCTACCTCCTTAAGGAGATGAGGTCCTTATGTCCCCAGAAGTCCCTCCCTGGAGGCAGCTGCTTGCAGATCCTTGATGCTGAGCCTGTCTGCTTTTCTGAGTTCTAATTCAAACAAAAAAAAGTTTAACTTTTCCTTTTCTTTCTCCTTTTCTGATTGATACCAGTCAAAATCCTAAGCCACCTCTGGGCTTTCTGTTTCCCTGAAGACATCTCCACCCTTCCCCCACTGCCCCCCCCCCTTATAGCATTCACATTGAAGGTAATAAGAAATAATTTACTTCCAGAGAAAGCTAAGTGATGATGGCCCAGGTGTGTGGATTCAGGTTACCAGAATAACATGTTACAATGTGGACATGGTTATAGGACAAATGAAGTCCCAAATCAAGGCATTTTCCAAATACCCTGGTGGAGACCCCAAGTAGACAGGCTACAGAGCAAAGCAGAAAAGCCATGCTATAGGTTTCAGATACTATTTGTGAAAGTCTTAGATTTGGAGATGGGGGAAACTGGTGCCCTCTTAATACATCCCAAAAGGTTTTATGTGCTAGCCACAAGGATGTTAGGGCAACAAGTGACTATTAAGGCAACTAAAGGCAGCCCAAGATCATTTGACTCTGGATTGACAACAGTCTACGTCTCCATAGTTACAAGTTCTAATCAGTCAATTGCTGTGTAGACTATTCCGCATAAGTGGGGGTTTTTCTGGAACCTCAGTTTACATTGACTTTCAAAGAAGTTGGTGGAAATTCAGCATACACAGAAGCAAAAGGCAGGCAGCCACCAAGCATACAAAAGTGTGTTGATGACTATCTGGGTTAATGCTTACTGTGTTTCCAAGGCAATCAACTCAACCAGCATTTATTAAGCACTGGGTAGTTCCCTGGACTCTGAAATACTCTAAGAAGGATGTGACATGTAAATACAATACAATCTCAACAGTTGTTATAAAGTCTGGGAAAGGGGCTGTCCAAACAGGCACAAACAACAGAACATGAAATCAGTTGGGGCTCATACGGTCACCTATGCATGCCTCAAGAGCAGGGCAAGCGAGAGGACTTTGGGAACTCAAAATCAGAGCAGTCCAGACCCAAGGAGCAGGTTTGAAAACAAAAGCAGATGCTGGAGATACACCTGAAGCTCAGGGCTTAACATGGCAACAGTAGAGTTCCAATCAGAACAGAACCAAGAAGGGGGCTCAGGAAAGGCCAGAGAGCATTGGGGAGGCAAAAAACAAACAAGGAAACCTGAAGGGTTAGACAGCTTAGCATGCAGATAAATGTTCTTGGATGCCACAGTGAGTTTTCCACTTATTCGGTAGGAATTAGAGAAGTCTTGATGTCTTTAGACTAAGAAAATCATCTGATTGAAAACAAAACAAAATTGCAGCAGGGCATAGTGGTGCATGTCTTTAAACTCAGCGCTCAGGATGCAGAGGCAGGCAGATCTCTCTGAAATCTACATAGCAGGTTCCAGGTCAGCTGGAGCTACAGGCCAAAAAAACTGCTAGGGGAAAAAAAGGTTTCAAAAAAAAAGAGGAACTATTAGGAATATGAATCTAGGAGCATTTTGAAACAGAGACCGTGCCAATAGAAAACTCTTTAAAAGATGATGATGGTGGTGGTGAAGATGGTGATGATGATGTGGTGATGATGATGATGATGATGAGAGATTATTGCATCTATGCAAACAAGAAATAGTGAGAAGCCGCTCTTCAGTTGTTATAGTAGAGAGAAGAAAATGAAAGGTGGAGCACAGAGACGGGGACACAGAGCCTGGCGGGAAACATAGCCAAGGGAGCTTTCTGTGAGGAGAAAGAACAGAGATGCAAGTGTCAAGACAGAAGTAAAAGAGATGAACCATTTTGAAGTTTGAAAAAAGAGACTGGGGTTGTTTTGTGAACTTAAACACTTAAAATAGAGGTGTCTGCAAGGAATTGAAATCTCTAGTCTAAAGTTCAAAGTAAGAAAGGAAGGGGAGGAGAGATGGAGGGAGGAGAGATGGAGGGAGGGAGGGAAGGAGGAGACATGGAGGGAGGGAAGAAGAGAGGGAGGGAGGAATAAAAGGGATGAAGAGAGATGATAAAGGCCAGGAAAGGTAATTGCTATAGAGAAATTTTCTAAAAGGTTAGGTGTTTAGGATGTTCTGTTTGTTTTTACAAGGAGACCTCTACTATTTTTTAAGTTTAAATAGAAAGATAAAGATGGCTCCCAATGAATTATGAACTGTGGAGGTTAAGAAAATGGAAGCAGAAACCCATTAAGCTTTGGAAAAATTGAATAAATAATATTCAGTAATACAATATTAAATCAAGAACTAGTGCATACTATGGACCATGAAAAAGACATAGCTAACAAGAACACAGTGACAGGAAAGATGGCAAAAAAATGTTGAGCTTTTAAAACACAGAATACAGAACTTTTTAATGCTCCTCATACCAAGATTTGAAGTATGTAAAGCAGGATCAGTAAGGTGGCTCAGTAGCTAAATGTGTTTGCTGCCAAGCCTGTCCTCTTAATTTCAAGTCCCCAAACCCACATGGTAGAGAGAGAACTAACTCCTGCAAATTTTCTTCTGACCTGCACACACACACACACACACACACACACACACACACACATCCATACACACTAAATAAACAAATGTAATAAAAAATATATGAAGCAAAAATTTAAGAAATTAAGAAATGAAACAATGCACAACAATGATCGTCAAGTATCTTTCATTAATGAATTGATAGTCACAGCAAAACTCGGTGTGACCTGACTCCAGAATGCCCAAATGTTCATCCTCAAACCAGGAAAATATGAATCACAAACACAATTACACATCTTTACACACCACTAGAGTATCAAATTTTTTTAAGTCCAGCTACACTAAGTATGGGCAAGGGCATGGAACAGTAATTTTCACATGCTGTCACTCATAGGGGCAATTTAACTATCAAAATTGAAGATCCAACTATTTCTTTCCTAGTCAAAATTGTCAACCAAGATCAAGTCAATAGATTATACCCTGGGAAAGGCAAGAGTACAGAGAAAAAGGACATCAGGTGTTGGGGAGAGCTTCAATGCAAGGGAATTGGGGAACTAGGGAACTTTCCTATATACTGTGTGATGATGGATACATGATTTTTGCACTGATCTAAGGTTGTATAATTAAAAATAAAATATAATGAAAAATAGAGTCCGTCAACCAGCAGGAGACATTCTTTTTCTCAAACAGCCATATAGGTGTGACTCTAAAGAGTTTTCTGGCCCAAAGCACCTGTGGTTGCAGCCCCAGAAGGCCAGATGGGCATGAGGCACTGATTGTCGAGGGTTTCAGAACCACTGAGTTCTGAGGACATAGTGACACCCAGAGCTACATGGGCTGTCTGGCAGGCTCACAGCAGCAAGCACAGAGAGAGTTGCTCCACAGCAGTGACTAGACAGGGCTCCCTGGACTGTGGCATAGAAAGGGACTTTGGCAGTGCTTGAGCCAGTGGCTTTTTAACAACCTGAAGAAGAGTATTTTTCAATATTTGAACAGTCAGCACCACCTTCCTGGTGTATGTCCTGGCTGCGTATCGGTCCAGAATGTTCCCTAAGGAAACTCAAGCACGTGTGCAAGCAGAACACGTGAAGAGGATTTATATGCGGCCCCTGAAGCACCATATGCAATAAGGAAAGATTAAAAACAGCAGAAAGGAAAATGGACGAATAAATTATGGTCAGTTCATATAGTGGGATCAATTCAACAGTGAGGAAAATAAACTGCAACCAAAGGGAACATAAATGGTCAACCAGCAGAATGAGAGGGAAAGCATCTGGAAAACTACACACTGATTCTAGTCACATGAACCTCCTAACAGAGGAAACTAAACTATTAGATAGGAAAGCACAAATACATAGTAAAACCATAAATGTGCAAGGAAATTATTATCAGAGTATGTGAGGAAAACGGGTGAGAGAGAAGTTCTAGGGCAATGGAAATGTCTTTACTTAATTACTTAATACTCATTGTAACTCACCGTCTACATTTGATGCACTTCTAGTTTGCCCGTTTATATTTTACAATTTAAAAAAAGTCTTTTTTTTTAAAAAAAAAAAAAAAGACTTGGTGCTGACTTCGCTGGGAGGAATGGGTTTGCAGATGAACTCTGACAGTACAAATGACGCAGCAGGAATCAGGTAGGGCTGGAGATCGAAAAAGAAAGTGATTGGAGAACAGCCAGCAGGAACAGTGTTTATTCAGAGTTCTCTGCACAGGACACATTCTGGGTAGAGGTGGAAGGCTTCCTAAGTCAGAAAGAAACGTCCAAAGCCAGATTCCCAAGGAGAAATGAGCACCAAGGGGAAAGTAAGTGAACAGCCCCACGTCTGCTTTCTGCTTTTCTGTATTTTTGCACATTTGCCAAAGAGGCTTCAGGGGCTCCCAGGGCACAGTGGTTTAATGCTAATTGAAGGGACAGGGACAGACCTGGTCTAGAAGTCTGGAAGGAAAAACAACTGTGGGTTTGTCAAAGTGTCTTCTAGGGTGCTCAAATATTATTTAAATGGGAATACAAGAGACGATTAATGAACCATGCTGTAACCATCCAGAGTCTGCATTTATAGCATTTATTAGCTGGTAGAACAGGTGGTCCCACCAGGACACTTTTTCTTTCTGGCTTTTCACCAGAAGCTGGATTTTCTTCTCTTCCCTACTTGGATTTTGAAACTTCTTGAATTAATGTACATTCCATTTGTAATAAAAGTAATTTTTTAATATTTTGTTTATTATTTTTATTTTATATGTATGAGTGTATTGCCTGCATGTATGTGAGTGCACCCTTGTGCAATACCACGGAGGTCAGAAGAGGGTTTAGAATTCCCCTGGAACTGGAGTTAAGGATGGTTCATAGCCGCCATGTGGGTGCTGGGAATCGAACCCAGGTCCTCTGCAAGAGTAGTCGGTGCTCTTAACTACTGAGCCATCTCTCCAGCCCCCAAAAGTAATGTTTTAAAACGTAATTCAATATTGCATAAGAACAATTGAAAATGGCTATTTAAATGGTCAAAAACTGGGAAAAAAATCACACTCAAAGCGTGGGTAGTCGTTACAACAGATAATTATAGATTTATTCCTTTCCTCTTCCTTTCAATCTTACATTAGAAATTAAAAATACAATTTAAGACTAAAAAAATGTAGGAATTAACTATAAAATCGTAGGTGTTTAATTTCTTTTCATACAGTTTTACTCGATTCTTGCATAGAGACTAAATTTTTATTGAAGTTATAGACGTAACTGACTTCCCAGATTTTTGATGCATCATATGCAAACCTGTTCAAACTCAGTTTAGTGGATTTGGGACAGGACTTTCTTCTCTAACAGATCCCTGGTGATAGGAATAAGTGCTGGGCTAGAGACCACACTTCAAGTAGCAAATGTAAAACACCTATGCCAACAACCAGGGCTCAGATAATAAGATCTGATTACAAATGGTTCACGCAAATGCCTATTGGTCATCTACCAAAACTTTAAGCCTAATAATTATACCTTCTTTCTTATGCAGGGAAATAATAAAGGTATGATATTAAGAAAAAATTTAATATATTTCTTCAAAAGATTAAAAAATGTAATAACTATATTGCAGAACTTACCTTATACTCAGGTTAAGATACTTTGTCCTGAAAATAATATGATTATATATGCATCAGCCACAAAGTTCTTTTTTCGTGAAATTATGGTATTGGCCCTTTTTTGCACAAGAACATCTTATTGTCTGCACACACACACACACACACACACACACACACACACACTTCTCTCTCCCTCACTCCATCCATCTATCCCTTTCTCTTTCTCCCTCCTCCCTCTTGCCCCTCACCTCCATTCCCCTTATCTATTTTCTGTCTTCTCTCCTGCTGTCTTTCAGGTTATTAAGTGTAAGGCAGCTATTGCCTGGGAAACTGACAGGCCCCTTTGCATTGAAGAAGTTGAGGTGTCGCCCCCCAGGGCTCATGAAGTTCGAATTAAGGTGAGTAGAGGCTTTCCTTGGGCAATACAAATATGTCCCTAAATGCAGACTTGGACTCTGGCAGGTATGTCTGACAGGCCCAGGGGCTTCCACTACAGGCAGTTGTATTTTTAGGACCAGATTAAAAACAGGCATTATCACACTTTTGACAGTGGGCTTGAAATTTAATCGAACTACCTTCATATTGATCATCAACTCTAATAATCAGCAAAGGAACTCACATTGGATTAGAATTAGTTAAATTTTCTTCTAGTTTTCCAAATATTAATTATGGGAAGGGGTTACTAAAAAGAAGAGAGTGTTGGGCATGGTGGTGCACAGCTTTAATCCCAGCACTTGGGAGACAGAGGACAGCCTGGTTTACATAATGAGTTCCAGGCCAGCTGGGGCCATAGGGAGACCCTGCCTCAAAGGAAAAAAAAAAAAAAGGAGGAGGAGGGGGGAAGAGGAGGGAGAAAGAGGAAGAGGGAGGGAGGAGAAAGAGGAGGAAAGGGAGGAAGAGGAGGAAGAGAGTTAAGGCTAAACAAAGAAGAGACAAAACCTGGAGGGCAACCTGGGCAGCACAGGGTTATGGGTGCCCAGAGAATCAGGACTGGGTCATCAGGGAAAGAATGGAGCAGGATCATTAACAGCAAGTCCAGACAAAATCTCCATTTTTCCTCTGAACCAACACATTCTAGGATTGTATGTGAGAATACAGGAAAAGGCCTCATGGGAGAATCATACAAGGACACACTAATAACTGACTTAGGCAGTATTTCTCTTGTTAGTATACAAGGCTTACTACCTCCACACCATTTCTGTCATCTCCACACAACTGAACAAGCCATAGAAACTTGTGCCCTCTCCCTCTGCCAAGTGAACTCCCTCCTGCCTATTACCTTTGATTTTTTTTTCCCTCCTAGAGACAGTAATCACCAATCCTATGATTTTTTTCAATCCTATGATTTTTTATAGCAACAATGAAAGTTAGAAAACTAAACTGAAAATAATATAGCTAGTAGAACATATAGAACATATTTTATGTGTTCTTCTCAAATGTAACTCTTTTACAGAGTTCTAGAAGTGCTGTAACATTTCAAGATGGCATTGGACTAGAATGTGGCTCAGTGGTAGGGTACTTGCCTAGCATGCACAAGGCCTTGTGTTCAGTCCCCAGTACTGCAGAAAATAAAATGGAACTATCACATGCAAACTTTTGGGAGCTGAAAATACAGCTCCCAAATACAAGGTTAAGAGCACTTGCTGCTTTTCCAGAGGACTGGGGTTTGGTTCCCAACACCCACATGACCACCAACAAACATCCATTACTTCAGCTCCAGAGGATCCAACACCCTCTTCTGGCCTCTACAGGCATTACACACATGGATGTAGTTGTATGCACGCAGGCAAAACACTCATACACATAAAATAAAAATAATAAAGTATTTCGTAAAGATGACATTGGGCCTAAAATTCCCTAGAACATCTGTCCCAAGAACACAGTTGCAGAACCACGACTCAGCTCTGTGATTGCTTTGCAGATAATGGCCACAAGTGTGTGCCCTACCGACATCAACACTCTCAATCCTAAAAAGAAGGCTCTTTTCCCAGTGGTCCTGGGTCATGAGTGTGCAGGAATTGTAGAAAGCATTGGGCCAGGAGTGACCAACTTCAAACCAGGTACTTCACCCTCTTATTCCAATGAGATAAAAATGCCAAGCTTTCTTTCTACCGATTCCTGGTAACTGTCCTGGCTGTGCATGCTATGACAGGGTTCCATTTACAGAGATCCTCCCCAAAGCAAAGCTAACACAGTCTAATGAGGTATAACAAGGAGACAGAATATTTGAAAACAGAACTGCTTAATAAAATTCTGGAAATATGGTCACTTTATTTACATAAACTGAGAAACTGTCCTATGGAGCAAAACCATAACGTTAGTCTAAACTGAAGCTTCCATGGTTCCACAAATATCATTTTATAACAACTTCCTCTATATAAAACAAAATTGTTTGATATTATATAAAAATGAGAACTTACAAAAGACTTAAAGGGAAAACATTATATACATGTCAATCTTAGCTTAAGTCCCTTTGAGGAAGTTTGCAAGGTAAAAATGACATCTAAATGAAGCCTGCCAATGGTTGAAATTATGCCATAGTTTGGAACATATCTATTATATAGTGGTATATAGGCTATATAATATTTACTTGTCCAAAAAATGAATCGTATCATTCTTTCGTCCAAACTTAGAGGTGTATTAGTATTGTCCACTCCAAATATGGTCATGGAAAGAGATGACTCCCTCAAGTTTTTCCTCATGAAGGAGTGACAAGTTTCAACCTTTAATCCCAGCTCTGCTTTTGTGTGATTTCGGCTGGTTACATCATTTTTCTGTGATTGTACTTGGATTTCTGTGTTCTAAAACAGTAGGTGTGAGAAGTGAGATGATGCTATTGGTTTGCCTTGTGCCTACCATACACTAGCTGTGGAACAAATGTGAGTTATCATCGCTAGACTCTGGGCCTCAAAGGACGGAAACCATTATTAAATTGGAATTGTATAAGAAGCTAGAAAGTGTGGGACTTATGAGTGAATCTGAATGGTGCAACATGGCAGTGATATAAAGTTTATGCTCTATGCCTAGTCAGTAAGTCCCACCTCCTCTGTTATATAAGGATGTTCTCTGTTCCATGCACAGTGTTTAAAGATGTGAAAGCCATTCTTCAGAGACTGCAATGACAGCAGATTCTCACCAGAACTCTGTACCAGACAATGCCAATACAGGCTTGTCACTTGACTGCCCTGCAGAGTAAGAAACACAAGTATGCAGTACTTGAGAGAATCCATAGTCTTATTTTTTTTAATTTATCTTTAGTTGTGTGTGGGTGTTCACAAGCGTGGTGTGTGTGTGTGTGTGTGTGTGTGTGTGTGTGTGCGCGCGCGCGCCCTCAGAGGCTAGAAGAACATGTTGGATCCCCTAGAGCTGGAGTTAAAAGCAGTTGTGAGCCACCTGTCATGAATGCTGGGAACTGAACTCAGGTGCTCTGCAAGAGCAGCAAACGTCTTAACCTCCGGTCATCTCTCCAGCTCTCTTCTATTTTACTGAAATAAAATATTTTATCTACCTATATTTTTGTTGACTATAAAATGCATAATGTAAAAAACCATAGTGTTTTCCTCTGATTTATCTGAGAGAAATGTTTTGGGTTTTTCTCTGGCCTAGGAATCAATTCCAAAGATTTTCACACCATAGGCAAGTGCTCTACCACTGATTGATTTCCCAGGCCTGCTTCTAGAAACTGTTTAAAGTAACATATGGACTAACATATGGACTTTCTTTGTAGGTGACAAAGTGATTCCATTCTTTGCACCTCAATGTAAGAAATGCAAGTTCTGTCTGAGTCCACTCACAAATCTCTGTGGAAAGCTTCGGTAAGCTCCCTACACTGTTGGTGAGACTATAAATTGGCATAAATGTTTTAGAAAGCACCTTGGCTAAACCTAAAAGGAGTTGAAAAGATGAAAGCCTTCTGCCTACTAATTCTAATTCTAGGGGCTTAGGAGACAGGGTTCCAAAAGCACAGGAAGAGACGCATGCTAGAATGTTCCCTGCCACATGTTTTATAGCAGCAATCAAAAACTACAGAAGGTCAGGCATGGTGTTCTACAACATTAATCCCAGCACTTGGGTGGCAGAGGTAGGCAAATCTCTGTGAGCTCGAGGCCAGCCTGGTCTGCATAATCAGTTCCAGGTCAGCCAGGGCTACATAGTGAGGCCCTGTCTCAAAACAAAAACAACAAAGCAAAACACAAAAGTAACCTTAAATAAGAGAATAGATTAGTATATTGTTATATAGTATCACAATGGAATACCATGCAATTAAAATAGCTGAACTTACCATATACATATTAACATAATTTTACACACATAATGTTAAGGGAAAGAAGCAAGATGCTTAAGGATATATTTCATAGTGTATCACAAGAAGACAGTACCATACATTGCTTATGGTTATATATGTTATGTAGCAAAAGTAAAAACAAATCACTGGAGTGATAAATGCGGAGTTAAGATAGCATCCACTTCTGCAGGAATGAGAAAGGATGCAGGACGTACAGCCATTTATAGCTTTAGGTCCTGGAGCCAGGTTTTTAACCCAGACACGAAGGAGTCTCACTCTTAATCACCTTGGACTGATTTTATTAAGACAATAGAAGGATCGATCTGCCCCAAATGCTGATTGAAGCTTATTATTTATGAAGTTAAAACTAGACTAGGTGTGGTGGCATATGGCTTTAATCCTAGTTAACAGGAGGCAGAGGCAAATGATTTCTGCAAATTTGAGGCCATTCTGGTCTACACAGCAAGTACCAGGCTAGCTAAGACTACATAGAGAGATCTTGTCCTTTAAAAAAAAAAAAGTTAAAAACCAGGGACTGGAGACCTAGTTCAGCAGTTAAGAGTACTTACTGCTTTTGCAGAGGACCTCGGTTTGACTCCCAGCACCCACATGTCAGCTCACAACCACCTGTAACTCCAGTTCCAGAAAATCTGATGGCCTTTTCTGCCTTCTGTGGCACCTGCAAACATGTGGTGAATATACACAAAGGCGGGTACAGACACATACACGTAAATAATAAATAAATCTCTTTTTAAAAAGAAGTTAAACCCATACTATTCTTACATCTCTGTCTCAGTTTCCTCATCAATAAGAAGATGCTCATGTCAGTTTGCAGGGTTGAATTTAAACTATATTCTTGGCCAAGTGTAC